TAAAGAAACAATACATAGAATGATTGATAGAAAGACAGGACACTAAGAAAGAAATATAGAAAGAAAGGAAAGGATGCAAGGAATGATAGAAAGAAATGAAGAAAGAGAAATAGGAATGCTAAAAAAGAAATAAAGAAAGGAACACAGAAAGAAAAGATGTAAGGAATGATAGAAAGAAAGCATGAGAGAGAAAAAGGATGCTTAAAAAGAAATAAATGAAAGAAAGGAGGAAAGAAAAGGAGAAAAAAGGGTACTAAAAAAGGAAGAAATAAAGAGGGAGCAGGTATTCATTATCAAGGCCCCAGCCTCTGTCCTATCAGCTCCTCAGCAGCTTCCTCTTGCCACTTCTAACAGACTCTTCATGTCTCTCACTGCAGCTCCAGCCACTGCAGAGTCAGGGGAGGATTTCAACCAACTTCCTAACTGCAGTATGTACTTACAGTAGTTCAGTCACAGCCTGCGACACCAAAACTGTTCTTCTTTGGACACTTAATACAATACCCATCTAACTGGGCCTGTTAACGGCTTAGATCATTTTATTAAGTTACGCTGAGTAAGTGTAATGCGTAATACTTCAGTTGACCTTGCAGGATATTTAAAGCATAGGTTTTTCTAGTCCGTCTTAAATCAATGGTCAGGTGCCCACATGAACGTTGTAACAGGTTCTGGTTGCTGTAATCATTCCTCATGAAGAGACCCCTTCCTGATGTGCTTCCAGTGTAAGTGATTAGGGACAAAATCCATAGTTCTTTTTTTATAGTATGGTAACCTAAAAAGGGTTTGGTGCTAAACAGTAAAGGGGGAGTATCTTCCAAATTCACTGTCTTTTTAGTTCATAATTCCCTCTTGATGGCCAGCACTAACAGGAAGAATGATAAGAAAACCCCATTTCAATTTCCATATGACTGTTGTTTTACGAAAAAAAAAAAAAAAAACTGTAGACCTATCCTTTAACTTTAGGGCCACAGCAACCAGGCTGAAAGTAAGTACAGTAGCCACAAATTCCATATTTATGTACAAAATCTTTATATTCTGTATACGTTCAGTGTATTGACAAATATATATCTGTCCAGTTTTGCTTTGCTTTACCCCTGAGTGGGTATACAGTACTTCATTGTGTGCATATAATAAATATTTTCAAAGAGAAATGTAAGAAATAGTTGATCATTAATAACAGCACATACTACCATTGGTAAGTTTGATTGATGAAATTATACATGTACAATCCTACTGACAATTTCTGACTATCTATTGATGTTGCAAGTTCTGATACTAGATGATAAGAATGTCCAGTTGATTAAAGCAGCAGTGATGAAAACAGATCCATCCAAAATAAATGCAGTGTCCATAACCGTTACAGGTGGCCAGCCAGCTCAGGTAACAGGCTATAGTGTCTCTCTCTGCCTAACCTCCTTTTGCTCTAGTCTGTTGTTTTTGCCAGGCCCAGCGTTTTCCTCTGGATGTTCTGGCTGAAAGGCATCATGAAGTCATCAAAGTCCAACTCGAGGGATAAGAGCTCCTTTCGTCTTTCTATTTTTGACATCAGCTGGCTGGTGGTGGGTGGCTTCCCCCAAACCTGAGACAGAAAGACAAGTCACAAAGAGATACCGACAGAGACTGCAAAAAACAAGTAATTAGTCAGTCAGTAGTCAGTAAGTTGGGTACAGCACTGAACCAATGTGCTCTAGTGGGAACACTGTAGAAGTGTGCTCGAGTTACCATATACATCTGCTTTTCTTACAGATGTTTGGTGAGGAGGCAGACTGCTCAGATTGATTGTAAAACGTACATGAATTGATCCTCCACTAAGACAATAAAAGCACCTTTTTCAAGTGTTTCTGGACTGGAATGATGTTTACCCTATCATGTTAATGTATTCATCTTTTGTAACAATAAGAAGCAGAAATAAAATGACATAAATGTAAATAATAATGCATTTGTAAACATTTGGTTAGACTTTTTGCATAATGCGACCATATACAGCAACATCTACAACTAATTTTTAAAGTTGAAAAGCTCAAAATGCATCAAAATTGGGGAGGAGCAAAGGGAGTTTACTGGATATTCAAGCAAGTTAGGACAGGAAGGAATAACCTTTGTTAAGCAAGCAGATGCTACAGTGTGTTGAGGCAACCCTACCGTTTTTGGCACAAAGGTGATATCCACTGTGTTGGTTTTCCCCGTAGTGATCCTGGTGTTTTGCAGGATCACGCTCTTGGAATCCTTCTGTGGTGAAGTCCTTCCTGTTGTTGCACTCGATCTCCCTGCCCCTTCGGCAGAAATGACCTGCAGGGGACACCAACCTTATTTAGATTTGCCTTGTTCTATCCAAGCAGTTGCTACAAATCAAAGGTCTAAGTGACAGATTCAGGTCAGTCAGAGAGAGAGAGAGAGAGAGAGAGAGAGAGGTTAGTGAACAGACTTTCAAGACAGCAGACATGAAGAAATAAATATAATAAATAAACAAATATTTAGGTCACAAAATGGAAGTGTAAGGGAGGTCCAAGCTGAAATTGCTGTTGTTAAGGCCATGAGAAGCACCAACTAAATGGTAACTGCTTGGGGGGCAATGATACAGATACTCACTGAACATTAAGCTTTTTTTCCAAAAACTGCAGTTATATGGCAAAAGCTATTCCTTTTCTTGCCTGTAGATAGTGCACATCCAGATGTTTACATTCGCTTTTCTAACCTGCTGCTGCTGTGACTCTCTTGCCTGTCGGTGGTGCAGGTTGGGCTGGCACTAAAGGTCCTGTGCCTCTGCAGATGGGTAATATTATCTGGGCATGTTTCAGACTGACACTGTGTCCTTTCAGCCATGTACTTAAAAAACAATTAAGTTACATAACAATAATGACCATATTTTCTCATTTACAGGATCAACACAGAACATTTATGATCGTAGGTGTGATACCCAGAGCATCTGACTGATTATCACAGGATCACAGGCTCAAAGCAGTACGTGAGCATTACATTGGAATGACAAGCATGTACTTTGACTTGAGGGTGCATGCATTATTTACGCTCAGTGGTTGACTTGCTTATAACTTACAGTGGATGGAAGTTTAATAGTTTCACACATTCTGCCACTCTGTCAAAAATGATCATATTCATTTGTCATTTATTGCAGACCAATTTGGCAAGAGCAGAAACAGGAAGTGGGCTATATTGCCCCTGTACCTTCCTCAGTAATTTATTCTGTTTGATGGACTTTTTCTTGCCCCCCAGAATTGCTGCTTTCAGCTTTATTGAACTATGAATTTTCCTGATGAATTTGTGCTACAGCACCACCTGCTACTTTCAGAGGCCAGATTTTAGCCTGATATTAGGAAATGCATACTGAGGCTCCAATGTGTACTAGTTGTAACATAACACATCTGGTCTAATTTGCTTACAAGTTACTGCCTTACAGCAATCAGATCTCTTTACAGGCTTAGGTTTCTAAGCTGGAGGGAAGGACACAACTGAAACCCAGGGTGGAATATTACCTCCACTCCTATGTTGGTAAAGTTTTACTCATAAATTTCAAAGAAAAGAGTTTTAAAGTTTGAAGCCACAAGATTTTAATATGTTTATTGCAGGCTGGTAAAAAGATTTTAATGGAGTTACTTGGGTACCTTTCCTTTAGCAGGTTTGGGCTTTTGAGTTTTGCCCCCCTTTCCCTTTGCATTTTCCTTTGGTTTAGGCAGAGAATCCATCTTGTCTTTGACCAAGTCAATTATTCTGGAGTCTGCAAAAGCTCTGGCGATGTCGAGGCAGTTTTGTTCTGAAGGACAAAAAAATATGGTCAGTCCAATAATAGGTGTAACCAAAATAACTCATGTGTAACAAATATAACAAAAATGCCTGAAGTTTGAATACTTTCTATGAATTCCTGTTGTGCACTCAAACCAAATCTAATGGCTCATATTTCCTATTTTTTCGTCTTCCTCAAAAATAAATTCAGTTATAGCTCCATGTGTTTGTATTAATCCGTTATATAAGTATACAATAAAACCTATTCTAAATTTAGGTTCAACATTAGTATTTTTCAAATTAACTTTGATACATTTCAGATGTGCAATCAAACCTTTCTTGTTCTCTGCATTGACATTAGCACCCGCCTTGATGAGGAAGTCCACACAGGAGGGTCGAGAGCTCTCAATGGCCCTCATGAGGGGCGTGCCTCCGCTGAGGGCTTGGGCATCTATAATGGCTCCGGCCTCCACCAGAAGTTCAATAAGTTCAACTTGGCCAGCGTGAGCCGCATGGTGCAGTGGCGTCCAGAAGAACTGGTCACACACATTCACATCCGCCCTGCCAAGAACAAGTATTATCACGGTTGTGTTTAAAGGGTTCCTGAACAGGACACTGAACTTGTTCCACATTGACAATAAATCTGATCTGTGTATTTCCAGTCAAGTTTAAGTCTCAAGGTATGATTAAAAATAAAGTACATTTGCCTTAATGTCGATTGTTAGTCTTTAGGTTTGAAAATGGCTCCTGCTCCTACTATGCAATAGAAACCTTACTTTTTGTATGTTTTACAGTGCATTTAAAGTAAAATGTTTTGTATAAAATCAAACCCTATTTTGGATACTATTTGTAGTGCATTTTTTGCATTTTTTCGGCAATAGCAGTTATTTACAATTGCATGCAATTCAGCATTACTGTTTATAATGTTATCTATCAGAGCTGTATTAGGTTACTGCCAACACAAACCCAACCTTTCTTACTGCTGCCGCTTCAGCCAAATCACTTTAGAACTGATCAGTGTACCTATGAATATTATATTCCATTTCTTCCAATAGATCCTCCTAAATGTTACACTCCTTTAACCTTTAAGAATTATACATTTATACATACTGAATATTGTTCTTACAAGAGATGTG